GTAATTTTCTTTTTTGTACTATTTATAGAGATTAAATTGAAACCCTCTGGCAGAGGATTTTTTCAGTAACAATACATCGTGACAAGACACATTTTTTACCCCTTTCTGCTCTCTTTAGCTAATTTCATTCAAACTGGAGAGATGGTTTTATGGATAGCCACCTGTAGGTGAACTCCTGCTTCCTCCCTGAAGAGGTTTCCATCCGGGCAAGCCCTTTCAAAACAATACAAGCAGTGCATAAAGAGGTGCTTTTGTTCACATGGAGGAATGCTCATCTCTCATAGACCCACATTCTTTACATATATACTTGCTAAGCCCAGTGGAGGCGGTCCACCATGTTTTTATATTTAAACATGTTAAGTAGACAGGAAATGTAAAAGTATTACTGGGTAATTGTATGTTACGGAAAAACGTCAGTGAAACGCTAATTAAACCCACAACTAGTCTGAAAAGCAACAAATCAAAAAATACAATTTAATTGAATATCAATTATTTGCATTTCTGTCTCATCCAAATGAAGTCAGCAGTTCAATCAGGCCTTCAGGGGCCCATAAATGCTAATATTGTAGCACAGACCACAGATACATAAATGTAACATTTGTTTATTCGGCTGAATTTTACATAAATTAAACGATTTTAAACTGTTTAGCATTTGCATGCAAGATTTTAAGGAGCTGGCAAGTTTACTTTGTGAAAGTTAAAAGAACAATATTCATAGTTAGATAGGTTTGTTACGACAGCAACAATCTGATGCTATGAGTTTAATCTTTGACATTGAGCTCTGTTTGCCACAAATACAAACTACTAAACTGCAATTATAACTTATTGCTTTTTAGGTTGGCCAATTAAACTGCTCTCCCTCTTCCAGATTGAATCTAGCAACAAGAGGGGCCCCCAGATAAAATTCTGCTCAAGGCCTCATAAAGCCTTGGATCGGCCCTGCATGATGAGTTACATACGCTGCACTGCTTAGAGATGCGCAACAAACAGGAGATTTAATTTAATGCTGCTAATGTGGCTTTGGTAGCGCTTCAATCTCGTGTTTGTTGAGTTTTTAACAAGGGGACACAGAAACGATTTTGGTTGGTCCAGTTTATGGGACGACTTTCTCAGACCTCCGCGCACATTAACTCTGTCTGACCAAGTGGACAAAGCATTTGATATGCTTTGATGCTTCCTCATAGGGGGTTGATGTAGACATCCATACAGGTCAGCCTGTGTCCAGTTTGACATGAGCAACAGAGACGCTTACAAACCAGCTTTAAAAATAAAAGCGATTTTTTTTCTCCTGAAAATATAAACAAGAAAGGCTTAGCCTGGCGGTGGGGGTAGTGAAGCATGGCGGGCTGCCAGGCCTATAATACAGTGGGGGAAACCCTGCAGATAAAGGAAGCCTGACACAATCAAGGTCAGGCGTAAGCAATTACACCAAGCACTGCTGAGAAGAAGGTCGAGATGCACCTCTAAGAAACAAGCCTTTGTGCAACTGTAAGAAAACTTACTTTTTCTGGATTTAAAACAACAAAAATCTCTTCTAGACTGCACTGTACCTTTCTGAGCTGGTCGAGCCCCGATGAAGCTCTCTCGGTGTCGCTGTTCATTTTGTGAAACCCGATCCCGCAGAGGAGAGCATCCACTCGCATGGCTCCTTTTCTTCCAAACGCACCAGCGTTCCTATCCCTTTCTCCCCCCTCTCCCTACCCCTGCCTCTGGCTTCTCCCGCTCTGCATAGCTCCTTCCCGAGCCTCCTACAACGCCACAGCCGAGGAAAGCACCGAAAGCGGCGGGACTCCCTCTCTTCTCCCGTCCGGCGTCGAGGCGAAAACGGTCCGCGGCCCCGTCTGCGCGCGCTCACAGTCCTGGTCCACAAGTGACACTGATTTTCTTCTTCTCTCCCCCCTCTGAAACTTTTCCCACCCCTCCTTCCTTCAAGCCGCCCTCTTCCTCCAAACTTCTCTCTCTCTCTCTCCTCCCTCTCCGTTTTCCACCATCACCGCCCCCACCCAGCTAACTCCCCACCGCCACCGCTAAGCTAATCTGCAGCTGGCCGGGTGATTGGAGCTCCGGTTACCCGGGAAACCGATTGTCCTGTTCGGTCAAAGAAAGACGGGGGGAAACGGAGCAGGAAGGGGAAAGGCTCAAAGAACTAACAGCTCCTCTGGGAGCCAATCGAGAGGGCCTCTTACTATCTCAGGGAGACGACGACTTGCCCATCAGTTTGTTCAGATGTGCCAACTGATGACAGCAGCCGCAAGAAAAAAGCAACAACAAACGTGGTATGGGAGGATTGGGTCGATTGAGAAGACACAATCAATGGCGTACACATGATGGCTAAGTGAAGAGAGAGAGAGAAAGCAAGCGTCCAGTAAACAAGGTTGGACATGCATACTGATGGCTGACGGATTAACAATTAACCTTCACACCCCCAAAGGCATTGTTTCTAGGGTTGCTGTTTAGAAAGGATGTGTCCAAACAAATCTTGAACTCTTTGGCACACGGTAAACCACAAACTTCTACATTTTTTTATTTGGACCGAGCAAAGACAAGGTCCTTATTGATTATTAATCAGCCCAAAACTATTTACAAAATTGTACAATGACGTCAGTTTTATTAAACAGTGTCAAATTCAAGAGGGTTGACTACAAATGCAAGTCCCACGTTTCAGATTTTCATTTGAAACAATGCAGTACAACCAGGTAATTGTCATTCTCCTTCAGCTGCCAATAAAATACATTGAGACCTGTGGTTGAAACGAGACATAAACATGTCTGCACTGCATCTCTATGGTAAAAATATAGGTATGCCTTTGCTAAAGTCAGTGGTACAAATCAAATCCTTTCTAAGATCTTTTCACTATCAACAGATCGGTCTACAAGGTTATTTGCTTGAGATCAATGTTGTGGCACAGGCTGAATGATGCAGCACTTCACCACCATTTTGTTTGCGGCATTTTCAGAAGACTGTACTGAAAGCCAACAGACAGCCTAGATGCTGCATCCAGGCAGGATTCTCAAAAACTAGGAAAAAGGAATGATAAATATTGTGGTCAATGGATCTTGGAAGCGAACTGCGACATCAATGACACTTAGGCTTCATTTCTTCAGTCGTTCCATTGAGCAGTCTTCATAAAGTGCCTAACAGCCTCAATGTAGCAGCAATGGAGCTGACCTCTGAGCCTGAAGCCTGACCTCGCCTTTGAAATGCAAGCACAAACTAAAAAAAAAGCCTGGCTTGTTCATCAATAGCAGTGGGAGGTGGAGGCCAGTGACATCTGTTTGCCGTTTATCTCAGCTTTTTGTGTTCCTCGGTCCTCTATCGGGCCTACAGCTGGGATCCTGGGTGTGTACCGAGCTCACCGTCCAGGGGACTCCCACTGTGACTGGGAAGCATGATGCCAGCAAGTTCTCAATCACTGACATTGCTGCCTGAAAGAGCTCTTGTTTGAGCTAGGGGAAATTAAATCCCACCATGGGTGTGTTTGGATCCCTTACCTCCTGCTTCTTTCTTCCTGTGATCCAGAGTCTCGATTACTCATGCGTCAGTAAAACGGTAACGTGGTCAGAATGAAAGCAATTAGACATCTTATTAAGTAAAAAGTAATAACACAAAAGCACCATTATACCATAAGGGATAGTATAGTTTTAGGGACAGTTCAGTTTTGTCTTTAACTTTTTTTTCTTTTCTTTAATTGAAATTGTGTGGTTATTATTTTGTTTGTGCATTTTGTTTTATTTTATTTTATTTCTTTTGTAAAGATCCCAGATATTGTTGACAAAATTTTAATTATATTGTACTTGTCTTTTATTTTTATTTTTTGAAAATGTGCGTCAGAATAAACAAGCTCTTGCCGGAATAACATCCCATCAACTCGCTTGTTTTATTTCCAAAGAGGTGGCATATCTGGAGGATGCAACAGGAGATTTAGGTTGAGCATCCAACAGTCATGCAAAACAAGCAAACGAGGGTCACCAAATGAAAACGTCTGTCGCGCAACTGCATTGACCAGCAATACCAGCAGAGTTTGATTATGAGTCCATGAGGCGAGGTGATTGAACAGTATGGAAAACCAGATTTCACAAGTACCACTAAACAACCAATTGTCCTGCACTGTACTGGAAAGAGTAACAAAAAACATAAAAAATAAATAAAAATCCCTTGATCTTATGAAGAACCAAAGCCAATATGAAGCAAAGTCAAGTACTGCTAGGAAGGGGAAGCCTCTCCTACCCATTCCTTCTGAGGGCTGACCATTTGCTTTTAAAGTGTAGTTGTCAAAACCCAACATATTACAGAATGCTAAAAAACAAACAAAAAAAACAACCCATACCATCGTTTACATCCTGGCTGGGGCTTTGTATGTGAGGTTTGCATGCACTCTCTTTACATGTGGCACGCTGCTATTCTCCCACAGTCCAGACACATCCGTGTGAGGGAGGCTGGTAACTCTAAACTGCCCTTAGATGTGAATAATTAAGTTATGTCTAGTTAGTCACCACTCAATTGTTGTCTTCAACAACAACTGAGTGAGGACCTGTGATTTTCTCTCATATTTAGACGTTACATTTGAACACATTTAAAAAAAAAGAAATTTATGTTTAGATGCTTCCTAAACCAACAATACGCTTATCTACAAACAAATACTTCCTTTTGTATCAGTTGCTTGAGGCTTTTCATCCTCTTGCGTCCAACTCGAATCCTCAAAAGACACAAAACGTCCAAATGAAATCGAACAAAGGAAAGTGCAAGATTTGTCTCCATCTGGTGGCCACATGACCTCTCTACACGACCTAATTTTACTCCCTATTATTATGCATATGGATATTTATCGATATATATCTTCGAAAGGTTAGAAAAACAAGAAAGAAACATTGGATAAAAACTCGATATTTGAGTAAAAGGTAATGATTAGTTATTGTATGTTCGTGCTGCATCGCTAGCTAGCCAAAGAAAGTTTGGTTTGAGAACGTGAAGGTCACGTGACCTCCCGGCGAAACGTTACACCCGGAAGCGAGTTGTTATTGCAGTGTTTTCATAGGTAGCTCGGTTCTCGGTGGAAACGAGTGATATTTCTAGATGCCGGTTCCTGCCTGCTGGACTGTGAGATGTGTTTGTTGTCCGCACTGAGAGCAGAAACACAACAAAGGGCTTTCTGCTACAGGAAGCCGCTGCCCTTCTCCACCGTGCGTACAGGTAACGTCAGTACCGCGGCATATTCGTGTATTTGGTTACAGGCGGCCTTGTTCTAAGCCGTGGCTTTGTTCTTGAGGTGAGCTATCTGCGAGAGAACATATTCTCCTCGTTTTGGGTTGACTTTATAAAAGAAGGTGGGGGAGAAGCGAATGTGGACTCTTGGACCGAGCTAAGGGGACAGCTGACAGCATGGCCACGATGCTGGCATGTGGAGCCAGAGGACTCCTGGTCAGCCTGAGGTCCACTCTGCGAAGAGCGGGCTGCTCTGCCAGATGCAGGCTCGTGCACAACCAGCGGACACGTTTGACCAAAAGAGGACAGATCCTTACTCGCATACCCAAGGTCACGCTGCTGTGTTGGGGTGCTGTCAGTGCTTCATCCCTTGCAGCCAAGTGCCAGGAAGCAACTCTTCCATCCAAGGCAGCAGACAGGAAGTCCCTTGCAAAAGTCCAAGTCCACAAAGTGGTGTTCTTTCTTCGTCTCAGCCTCCGGGCTTTGGTGCTACTCTGCAAGTTTGGTCCCCTTCTTCTCTTTTACCCCTTGGCCCTCATGTCAACCCACTGTGCGTCTTACTGGTTGAAGGCCCTTCTATGGGTGACCGAGACCTCGGGTCCCACTTTCATCAAGCTGGGACAGTGGGCCAGCACCAGGCGGGACATCTTCTCTCGAGAGTTTTGCGAATGCTTCTCCAGGCTCCACGTGAAGGTGAGCGCTCACTCCTGGGCCCACACCAAGAAGTGCCTCCGCACGGCCTTTGGCGAGGCCTGGGGAAGAGTGCTGGTGTTTGACAGCAAAGAGCCTGTGGGTTCAGGATGTGTTGCTCAGGTGTACAGAGGCTGGGCCAGGGTTGACCAGGTGGAGGACCCGTCCTTCCAGTCGATTGTGGAAGAGATGGAGAGAGAAGACCTGCTGGAAGCCTGGGAGATCCCCGGCCTCGGCAGTGTGGGTGCCGTTCTGCAGCAGCCTGGGGAGAGCAGCAACGAGAAGGAGCGCCTGATACCTGTGGCAATCAAGGCAAGTCTGAACATACTACACTTACAGTGCGTTGCTAAAGTGCTCATGATGCCCGATTGAAGCCTCTCCCATTTTGGTTCATTGCAACCAAAAACCTCATTGGATCAATATAATGTAATTTTTCATCTTTTTTTTTTTTTTTTTTTTTTACAGATTAAATGAAAACGCCTTCTGTGCAAACCTTGCGTCATGCGGGCCAAAATTGTCGAGTCAAAAGTCCTCAAAAATTTCAAAATTGGGCCAAATTTAGTAGCCTCAAATTTTGAGGTAATTTCAGTCACTTTTTTTCAAATTGGTTGCCATGTTTAGTCAGGTTTATTCATTAAATAAAAGCTGATTTGGATGCAGCAAAGTTGACTTTTCAGCAAAAGTCCCTGAGTAAACCTGGTTCTACTTACTATTCAAGACTGCTTGTAAAGAAACAAATACGTTAGTGTTGTTCTTAACTTTTTCCCTTGAAAGAAAATCATGTCAGTAATAATTTGACCCTAAATTAGGTCTCCATCTGCATTAACCACCTGTGCTGAACAGGCCAAATTAGTGTCATTGTTGAACTGCAGTGGAAAATCTCAAGGGTAATTAATGTGTTTGCAAGATGCTATGTATTTCTCTCTGATACCTTGTGTTTTTTGCATGCGAAGGAGAAGATGCGCTTCATTTTCCCCTGCTTTTCAGGTAGTCCATCCGGGCGTCAGGAGGCAGGTAGAGATAGACTTGCTGCTGATGAAAGCAGGCAGCTGGCTTCTGCACTGCATGCCCGGACTCAAGTGGCTCAGTCTGTGTGAAGTCGTTGAGGAGTTTGAGAAGCTAATGACCAAACAGGTACTTTAATTAGCTTTTTTTTGTTTGTTTTGTTTTGGTTTAGTTTGTTACACCAAATTACGGAACCAATTTATTTTTTTTATTGCATGAATACAGCTTAGAAATGTCCCCAGCGTGTGTCGAAGTGACCTCACTGGACGTATCTTTCACTTACCGCGTGTTTGCTGCAGATAGATCTCCGCTTCGAGGCCAGAAACATCGAGCGTTTCCAAGAAAACTTCCGCGACGTGGACAACATCAGGTTCCCGACTCCGCTACGACCGTTTGTCACCAGGAACATTTTAGTGGAAACCTTTGAAGTGAGATTGTGGTTTCTGAAGATAGCCGACACCGCAAGCGTTTTTCAGTAGTTGGAAAATGTTAGAAAATGCATCGGGGGTTTTCTTTTTTTGTGTGTAGGAGAGTGAGCCCATTTCCAACTACCTGAGCTCTGAGATTCCTCAGGAGGTGAAGCGGAGAATAGCCAGGATGGGAGTTGACACCCTGCTGAAAATGGTGAGCTCAACAAACGTTACGTCACTTGATGTATTGAAGTACTGCGCTTTTATCAGCCATCTTCACCTACATCTCCACTGCAGGTGTTTGTGGACAACTTTGTCCACGGAGATCTGCACCCTGGCAACATTCTGGTCCAATGTCCGAAGGCTCTCGCTGGTTCCAGTGACACAGTTGCTGCCGCGGGGGACCACCACGGAAAGACCACCCTCACGGACTTGTTAGACACGGTGGTGGTGAGCGTCAGACCAGGCCCGTGTCCTCTGCAGCTGGTTCTGCTGGACGCCGGCATCGTGGCTCAGCTCAGCGACCACGATCTCGCCAACTTTAAGGCCGTCTTCACGGCGGTGGTGCTGCGCAAGGTATTGGGAACTTTAACTGTAGGAAAGTATGTTTTTTTTTTAATGTAAGATCCTCATCAAATGTATATACAGTTAAGGGGACCTGCGGGGTTTTGCAGGGCGACAGGGTGGCGGAGTTGATTTTGCACCATGCCCGAGCCAACGAGTGCAAAGATGTGGCGCTTTTTAAGAAGGAGATGGCCGAGTTGGTGGATCATGCCGTCAGCAACACCCTCTCTCTGGGAAAGGTGTTTAGTTTACTTGTTTTCTCAATCGTAATAGATGTGTTGTAAATAGAAGTGTAATCTTTTTCTAATTTGTTCCTGTCTTTACAGTTATTTGAGGGAAATGTTAAAATTTGTTCCATGTCTTAACAGAGTTCTTTCAAGTTCTCTAATTGCATTAGCAGAGTTTAAATATCTTAATGGATGATTAAGTTTGAGTGTTGATGCTGTAGCTCCTGTTTTTTTTTTTGTTTTTTGCTTTATAGATCAACTCAGATTGCTTTTATTAAAGAGTTTGATGTATTTGGTTCTACCCTTACTGATGATCTGCATCAGTAACGTTCATCTTTTGTCTGTTTTTAGATTCAAGTAGCTGATTTGCTCTCTAAGGTGTTTGGCTTACTCATCAAGCACAAGGTAAAGTATATTTCCTTTCTGGTCTAAAGTTTTAAACTTACAAGGTGAAACTTTCTGATGATCATAACAAAGTCACATGGAAAAAAAAGACAAGTTGAAATTATTAAGAGGGAGACTTTTAGAAACAAAGTAACTTCTGAGTCTTTCCATTACTGTTTTAAAGTAATGGAAAGTAACCAAGTTTAGATTATTTCTTATCTGAGCTGCAAATTATTGGAAAACTTTGCCTCGTTTAAGAGATGCACAAAAAAAAAACCCATTTATTTCTAATATCTTTGGATTTCTTTTTTTGTCATAATTTTGAACACCGACAACAAGAAGGTAAATCTCACTCTGTTGCTTTACTTAGCTGAGCTTACGAGACATTCTGTTGAGTAAAAGTCACTGGATGTCTGTTGTCCTCTTTACTATGAACTGGAAGTAAAAGCAAAAAAACATGGTGGACAAAAGAGGAGCACTTTGTCTCATACCTTTCATTTTTAAACACTTTAATTAATCTGTTTCCCTTTTTTGAAAGACCGGTTCTGACAGATCCATTTTGGAGTCCGGTAGGGAATATTTAGGAGGCAAATGTCAAGAAAATGTCCCCAGTTTAAAATGAGTTTAAAAGCAATTTCTGTTGCTTTTTACATTTCTGAAGCAACACATTTTTGTTAAAAAATGTAGAAAATACAGTAATGCAAAAGAAACAATGTAGTACTTGCTTTTGTATATTTCTTCTCAAATGTATCTCTTGTATGTAATATATTTATGTTCTTTACTTAAACCACAAAATACACTTAAAGGAAACATCAGTGAGAAGATTATTTTTTTTGCTCTCAGTGCCTCCTTGTTTGGGTTTTAAGTAAAACAGTGTGTTGCTGCCTTTTATTCATTGATGGTGTTTTTCAGGTGAAGCTGGAGAGCAACTTTGCGTCCATTGTGTTTGCCATCATGGTGCTGGAGGGGCTGGGAAGGTCACTCGATCCCAACTTGGACATCCTGGATTTGGCCAAACCCCTGCTGCTGAAGAACTGTGCGTCGCTGCTCTGATGCGCGCGCACACTCCCCATCAGCAGACGCACAACACAGGCAGCTGTGCAGTTAGTAGGTGAATTTGCAGGTACTATGTTTCTACTGTACATCTTCTTAGTACCGTTTCAGGAGGTTTTCTTCAGAATTGCAATGCAATGTTCCCTGGTAGATCATGAGATCATCTCATTACATTTCAGCAGAGTCCAGAACGTAAATGCCTCACCGTGGCGTCTTGTCTTTAGTGGCTGCAACAACTTTGATTGCCTTTGTTTACGCTTCGTCTCCTGCAGTCTGTGTTACGTAGGAGCTTTTCATCCATCAACATGGACTTTAAAAGCACACTCACTGATGAGAGTTGATACATTTTAAATAGTTTGATTACTAATCAGTGAGTCAGACGCACAATGTAATCAGAGGACATTTCAGTAACTATGTAAGATGAAATGACAGAATCCTAAAAGGAACCCAAGCTGCTTCTCAGTTCCTGGGTTTTCTTTTTAATTGGTGCCTTGCTAAAGTATTCCTATCCCTTAAAACACTTCTTTCCCCCCCATGTCAAAACCACAAACCTTTTCGTATTTATTTGGAATTTCGTTATCCCGACTCAACCAAGCGGAGAATAGTGACCTAAAATCACGAGATTTATGTTTTGTTTTGTTTTAAAACGCCCAAAATGTGAAAATGTGTGGATTTGTATTCAGTCGGCTTGAGGGAACATGTTGAGACTAAAATGTTTTCCAATCCTGTGTGACGTAGCAATCAAAATGAAATGCACGAGCATTATTTACAAGTGTCAAATACAGAAACTTGTTGATGTTGAAAGGGTATGAATACTTTCGAAGGCACCGTGTAGATGTTTTATTCCTGCAGTGTTAATCTTCTTTTAATGTTTTATGGATTTTGTTGTAGAATTGATCACAAAACTTTAACATTTGTACTGATGGCTGACTGTACTCTGTTTTTTTGTATGTTAATTGCCTGTTATCAAAACATACTCTCTTCCAACATTCATGCCATTAAAATGTAACACAATCTCATTTATTTTCCTGCGTTTGCTTGTGTGGTCTGTAACTCCGAGCCAAAACAAACGACTGCATCCAAGACAAAAGAATCCATTAATCTACAATTTATTAAATCTGTCAATGAAAAACAGACAAAACTCAATTCTGTCGATGTCATCAGGAAGAACAGTCAGCATGGCTGAGTGATGAAGATCGAGAAGATTCGGTGCAAAGAATTGGAGAATGGGGAAAAAAAAAAAAATCTCATCACATACCCTTTATTGCAAAAACAGTTTTTTTCATCACCATCAACGGCCCATAGAGGGCAGCACTGTTCAAGTAAAACGGGAGGGGAGAGGTGTTTTATTTTTTCTTTTAAAAAAAAGTTCAAGAATAATATTAATAATAATGACAAAACAAATAAAAACATCTCTAATAGACAAACACAATCACCTCAGTATAAGACAATTTTCTGTTACGGTCACAACAACCAGAGAGAAGTTGTTTGGTTCCCCCCCCCATATTTTAATGAATTAAATAGTTTTTAAAAATATCTCACCATTTAATTATAATCATCTTTTTTTTTTATTTATTGCGAAAAATAGGCAACTGGATTAATTGTGATGATTCAAGATTTGTGTGTGTTTGTGTGATTAAGTAGACAGAGATGGTGAAACTTCTCAGAGTGTTGGCACTGAGACTAGCATTGCAGTACTCCCATTCTGCCACCAGGTGGCAGCACGAGTCAGTTTGAGCATTCCGCAGAGTTTTAGTCGGAGGCAGAATATTCCGTTCCTGTTTCTCCGAAAGGGGAAGTCAAGTGCTGCCAACATCAACCAGTTTTTTTTTTTTTTTTTTCATTTTCTTTTCTTTTTTTTTTTTGGAATGATACTTGGGATTTTTGTCCACAAATTTGTCCACAGTCGCTTATTTGCGTTGCGAAATCTAGTTCTATGTACAAAGGTTTCAAATCCCTGAAAGACATTTACAAAGACAAGTGCAACCTTCCACGTTACAGCCCCCTTCCTGGAGAGGCTCAGGGATAGTCGGGGTTCCTCCAGAGGGCAAAAAGACGGGTGGGTGGGTTGGTTGGGGTAGTACCAATCAGATCTAGTAAACGTGCCACATAAGGATTCAAGAAAAATTGTTCCTAGGAATGAAGTCAGAAGAGAATGTCAAAAACCTCGGAGTGAAAGGTGTTGATCCTTAATAGGAAGGTGGAAGAGGCCACCGATATTTCCTAAAGGTCACCGATATTTCCTAAAGATGAACTGAAACCAGAGACCATCATCGGCTTGTCATATTCCTTGCTGCCCACTCAGCAGTCTCTCCAGACATTTCAAAATAAAATCCTTTCACCCCAAGCAGACTCTTCTCCAGGTTAATACTGATTGTTTTGATTATGAACCTTTTCTGCATCAGTGTGATGTCCTCTGTTCTTCCCCTTGCAGTTCCAGTTCAGGACCGTAAAGGATGTTAAAAAGCCATGTTGGGTGAGATTAGCTTTTCTTACTTTCTTCTAGGACTGGATCCATGGAAGAAAGCACGCTGTAAACTGTAAAGTCTGATGTTGGTACTCCTTTAAGGTGGTTATATATGGGGGCATAGGCACAAACGTTCATTCCCTCACAAATTAACACACACCCACACGTATGGGCTCCAGTTGTTCATGGAAGATGGAGCTCTGGGCCATCTGTCAGCAGTGCAACAACGGTTCTTATAGACTCTACTTACTGTGGAGATCAACAGCTTTCAACAGTTTAAACTAAGAAGAAGAAGACAGATGAAGAAGAAGCTGGCGTCTTGATGCCGGAAGAGGCAGCAACATTTTTGTTCTCGTCGATGAAACCCATCCTCTGATCCTACGGTTTCTTTTTGTTGTAGAAATTGCCAGTAGCTTGTTTTCACATTCCCCATGTAGGAGTAAAGCCTGGTTATGAAGGGAAGCGTCTCTTTACACGACGGTTCCACTTGCTGCCAACAGAGGTTGATGTTTGGGCTCACAGTTGGGGGTGTGGGGGAGGTGGAAGGGGAAAGACGATGGGATGTGACCGGCTATGAGCTGAGCCACGGGTGGTTTAGGCATTCCCCGGCCGAGGCCCTCTTCTCAGGCACCATCTCCAGCATGGGCAGCAGGAACTGCGTGAAGTGGCCGGCGTCTTCGTGCGACCAGCCGTACTTCTCGACCAGCACGTCGAACAGAGACCATGGCTTCAGCTTGGTGATGTGCCGCAGCTCGCCTGCAGGGAGGCACACGGAGCAGTCAGTATTGGCACAACAAAAGGGATAAATATAGAATAGATCTCCAGCCTAATCCATCAACTTTAGCTCGCCCCGGCCATTCGTACTGCAAAGCTTTGCACGTTTTAGAAGATCAGCACCGATTTTCCCAAAGAAAAACAAGGGTACACCCTCATAGATGAAAGAACACAAAGATGTTTTCAACACTACTGATACATGCTATGACATCGATTTGATATGCTAATAAAAGCTGTATTGTTACCTATAACAACTCTTTTTTTTCTCTCTTTAAAATTATAAAATTATCCCATAAAGGTCTGTAATAAAATCCTGCATAAACAGTTATGAATGAACATGTTTGTGGGCAAGGTTACTCCCTAGTTGGCAATTGTTTGGTTACCGGTACCAATGTACACAGCGGTTTTTAAAATGGTTTCAAAGAAATTTTTTTTTCCATCACATCGTTTGGGATTTAAAGAGCTTTTAATGAGATTTTCCACCTCCATGATAGACCCGGGTCTCACGCAAGGCTGCCATCTCTTTCAGCACTGCTGCTGCTGGTTAGCTGGCTGGAAAAAGGCTCCTACATTTTCCTCTTGCATCAAAGAAAAATTGCTTGGAAATACTTGGAAGTTGTGAAAACCACAGACAGCCATGTTGTTAACACTAAGAGCACCAGCAGACAAGGAAAGACCATTTTTAAAACGCTGTTGGTTAGAAACTTCATCCCGTTCTTGTTTTGTTTGTTTTGGTTGCAACGTTAGACATGACCAGCATGTGGAAATAAAAGGGACGTGTGAGCAGCAGCTCTTTTGCTGCCTGACTCATTATTTTACCTCGCAGATGTTATGTTATGCATTAAGATATTTACTTTTTAAACACTGTGCATTGGTACAAATTGTTATTTCAGCACAAATCGATGGTTTGCCCCTTTATATAAAAAGGCGACAGGCACTTTTTCAAGGGCCGCAATTATTTTACAATACAACAGAACAGCAGCTGATTTCACTAATTACTTCACCTCTTTCTTTTTATGGGATTGCTAATCAGTAAGGTGCTGCATCATTGTTGCGAAAGCCTGCAGAGTCTTGGCTGATCACCAAGCTGACAGAAGGCAGATGGACAGAAATAGAGAGAGACAGGACGATGACCAAAAACAAAAACGTGTTCATTATTGAGGAAAAGATGGAAACAGTTGGCTGGGAACGCAGCTCTGACAGGGAAGAAAGAGCGTTGAGGCTGGTTAATGACGGGGCTCGACCAGGAGGTTCGCTTAAAACCACGGCTGCCGTGCTAACCCCTTCACACGATGGCAGAATCTCAAATATTTATCAGCTGGAGATTGAGAAAAATATTTTAAGGCAATTTTAGCTTATGCAGGGTTTCTTTAAGACTTTTTAAAGACTATTACGGGTGTAATTTAAGACTTGCATCTCAACAGAAAATTGTACATTTTGTACAGCAGTGCTAAGCGTTTTTGCACAGATTGTACATATCGTCACAGTAACACAAGTGAAAACCAGTGGTGAAGACAAACGTCCAACCAACTGGACAATTATTACCAATGATTGACGCAAAAAAAAAAAAAAGTACATTAGCAGCTAGTTACCATTAGCCTCAACTGCCTGGAATTACAGAACCTAATCAAGATGTCTGTGTGCAACTCAAACTTTCGCCAGACTTACAAGTCTGACAAGAAAAATAAATTATATTTTGCGAGATTAAATTGTCCCACTACAACAAGCTTTAAGACCTGTGATCAATGTATTTAAGGACAATTTGAAATTTAAGACTTTTTAAGGATGCGCAGACACTCTGCTCTGTATTCCCAACAGTTCAATAAAAATCACAATGCACGAAAAAAAAACCAAAACAAAACAAGGTCAAGCGTCCCACCGAAGGCCTTCTGGCCCACAGGCGAAGCCCCGCTTCCCCCGAGGAGCAGAACGGGGAAGTCAGTTGAGATTAACAGAGCGCCGAGAGATAAAAGGGTGAACAGTGAGACATCGAGTGCATGCTCAGAGACAACTTCAAAGCCAGAAGATCCAGATCTCATGACACACAAGGGAAGGATTTATGAGCAGAAGGGAAAACACCAAGAAGAGAACCTTAAAAAGCGAATGAATGGCAGAGTGCAAGGGTTATCAGCTTGATCGGACACAGGTGTGTCCACTTACCAGGCTTAGAGGGCAGCAGAGCCACAGAGGAGAGAGACATGCTAATGGCGACTCTTCCAGATACGTTTATATTTCTCTAACAGTGACAGAGCCCGTCAGATTTTTTTTTATCTTAGTTAAAACAGGAGGTAGTTCTCAATAAACTTCACATCTTTTCAGCTTTTTTCACTCCCAAACAATCACTTGACATGGACATGATATCTGAAGGTTGATATGGAGACTGGCCGATGTCTACATTAAACTCTCGGTGATCTTTGGAGATATTTATTTCTCCACATTCCCCCGTCAGCCGGCTCGCAAACAGAAGTGATACTGAGCCCAACGCTGCTTACAGTTTTAACTCTACTTGTTATTTAGATAAAAATTGATGTTTTTTTTTTCAAGATTTTCTCAAAATTTAAGCATAAGTGTATGCTGATGTAAAACTGCATTAATCTCAAAACTTTTTATGCATATTTCTCTTTTTTTTTTCTATTTCAGGCCAAAAGATAAAATGAGTTCAGACTGAGCAAACTGAGTTGTAATTATTAGGGCTGCAACTAATGATTATTTTGGTACTCAATTTTTATGACTATTAATCAATTAATCAGAAGTAAAATTAGCACATCCTGCAGATTTAGATATTTTATACAATATTATAAATATATTCAAAATACGAACAAGCAATTTAATGCAATTTTAAGTTAAAAAATAAACACCTAATTGCCTGAAATGCAATAAAAGCATTCCTTTGGGTATGCATGATCATTTGTAGCAAAGTATGCAAAGCTGAGCCCTTACTGCTTACACTAACATCAATACAGTGCAGCGCTGATCTTTTTTAGGATTAACCAATTAGTATTTGGGTAGCAAAGGGAGATTTTTTTTTTCTTTTACAGAATATGAACCAGAAGAAGCTAAAAATGCCAATTGAGTTTTGAGTAGGACAGATGAAGACAAACAAGGTTTTTTCTATTGTAAATGGAAAAAATATATATATATTGTACAATTTTGGCTTAATTGTTGGTTTGATTGTGTTGTTCTTACAGCAATTGGCTTCTGTTGACTACAGTTAGTGATTAATCGATTACAAAATGACTTATTTCAATTAATCACAATTAATCGTTTCAGCCTTAGTAGTTGTAAGATTTGCTCATCAGTTGAGTTTTACAATATGTGTGCTGCAAGTGAAAAAAAATCCTTACAACTCAGGATTTAGCACAAAAACAAAATGTAGATTTTGAGCAGGTTTTCTAAACTTTTGAGAGCCATTTCACATCAACGGCAGAATGAAGAAAACCTGCCGTGACGTCATACTCACCTGTACTCTGTCTGAGAGTTTCTATGAAAAACAAAAACTCGTCCAGCTTCTGACCCCCCACATTCACTTCCTGCTACCACCCAGGATGAGGCTTCCACCCACGGTTCAGTTTACCTTTCTTGGAGAAAAACTCTCGGCTGAACTTCCCAGCAGCTACCACTTTGCGCGGGACCTTCCCGAGGAGCTCCGTGATCAGAGCGATGTGGTCTGCCCCCACCATCACATACGTCACAAAAGGGAACAGGCACGGTTCAGCGTGACAGCATGCACACACACGTCAACACACACACGCCGTCGGCTGCACGGCCGCCGACACACACTGCCGCCCCGAGGGACACGTTTGGAGGCCGAATACTGATCGCTCCCGCGTTTGATCGAATCGCCCAATTGGCAGCAAATTGAAACAGTCTGCTTGTGACCGTTTTCTGTCCCTCTTTGACATCCGTGTGTCTCAGCGCCACCCAGCTCTCAGGCCATCGCTACCTCTTCTGTTGAAGAACTCCCGGGAATACTTTCCAGAGAGCGCAAAGTGCCTCGGAATGCAGCCCAGCAGCTCTATGATGTGGGCTATGTGGTCTTTTGGGGAGGGAAGAGGAGGAGAAGAAGGGAAAGGAAAAGCAAATTGAAAAAGTTGAGTGGAAGACAAAAAGTAAAGGGAGAAAGGGAATCAATAAAACAAGAGAGTAAGGGTGAGAAAGTAAAAAAAAAAAAATAATAACAGGGAGGGACACAAAGAGAGGGAGGAGGAAGAAGGAAACAAAAAAACGACAATCAGAGATTATGAAGAAGGACAAACACGTCAATAAGCTGCGACAACACGGGATGAAGTAGTGAGGAAATGAGACGAATAAAAAGCAAAATGCCCCGAAATAACGATTCTGAAATAACGATTCAGTGGTGGGGGGACAAAAGTTGCTTCTGTGGAAATCGGGGGAAAAAGAACCAAAACCGACTCAGATCCTGGTGTCAAAAAAAAAAAAAAAACAAATAAAAAAAAAAAACAAGTAGAAAGTAGCCGACCGAGCAAGGAGAAAAACAACAAGATGAACGAAATTAGAGAGCTGGACGAGATGAAGAGATAGAGGATGAGGAAAACGTTTCAGCCGGCATGCAGATAGAAGCAAAGGGACGTGACAAACTATTGTAGCTCTGAGGCGAACGTTACGATCTGCTACCTTTTTGCTACAGGGTTCGTACGTTTTTCCTGCCATAAAATTCAACAGCTTTTCAAGCATTGTACGTTTTTAAACTTTTCCAGCACAGCAATTTTGATACAAAAACAATACAAATGATCTAAAAGAGGACCATTTCAATTCACTATTTCACAATGTCATTTATAAAATAAGTGACATAAAATGTTTGATATCTTGTGATAGTACCGTAAATTATGCAGCAGAATAAGATTAGCTAAAAGATAGCTAAATTGTATGTTTTTAAATGTCTCTCTTAACATCTAATTGGTCCGAGAGCAAAACACTAATTTAACAAAAAGCTCCCTGATTTCAATAACATTAATGAAAAAAAAAATTACCACAATCTTTCTTTCAATTAAGTCACAGAGCCATTAGAAATAATAAATAATATTTCCATGTCGTCTCTTTACTGAAAACGATTGAAGTTAATTGACTTAGAAAGTTTAAGTTTGGATTACCTATGTTGAAATAATCCAAACAAATCGTGTTGACTTAAATGACCAAATTAAATGCTTTAACACAATATACAATATAATGTGAAAAAAAAAAAATTCTAAAAAGTTTCCTGGTATTCAGTAAAATAGAAATAATTTTGGTAATTCTAACCGACCAACACAGCATAAAGTTTAGTCTGATTCAACTTCAGCCAGTGAGGAACAAAAAATGTTTTTATCAGCTGTAGCAAAATGAACAGCTGATAAATAATCAAACCTCAGATTGCTCTTTACTACAAACCCGTGCAGCCTGAATTTTAAGGAGTTTGCACAGGAATGAAGCACTTCCCAAACCCTGAAAACACTTAACGAGAAATTCAAGCATTTTCAAGGATTTCAAGCACCCGTACGAACCCTGTTGCTCGGTTTCACACGGCAGGAATAAAAGGACGCCAGCGACGTGAGCTTTCTCCGTTTGAGAGACGCGAGTCGCGGTGAGCAGTGAGATGAAGACGGAGGCACAGCGGCAGAGTTCAAGGTGAGGATTTAAAGTCGACAGTGGACAGGAGGATTTGGGGAAAGGGATTCCTAAACTCAGCTTACTTCATCAGCAACAACACATTGCTAAAACGATCTCCATTGCTCAGACTTATCATTTTGCAATAAAAAAAGACAAGATGTCTAAATGTCCACAGAGTTTCTTTACTGAAAAACTGTTAAAGTTAATTAACTTGGAGAGTTTAAGCTCTCATTCGAACAACGGAGAGACATCATGAAGTCAGTGTGTAGAATGTAAGATACTTTGCTGACAATGTGGACGAACGGTACTGGTGAAAAGCTGACAGACTCCTTAATGGTGCGTTCTCACGTTCTTTTTTCAGGATGTGCGCAACAAACAACTCCAGTGAATTTATTTTTCAAAAACCGCACCAAGTAGGCTTAAGCATAAACCCCTCCCCACCTAATGTTTAGCTAAGTGAATCTCAGAAAGTCTCTCCTGCTCACACACGTTTTATAGCCACTAGCAAGCATCTGGCTTAAAGGAAAAAATAAAATACAAATCCATCAGAAAAAAATAAGATCCATCCTCTTCTTTGCTAAATTTAAATCCCTGACTTTTTCCAAGTCAGGGAAAACAGGGATAAGATGTTGGTTCTTAAAACAAAAAATTCTGAGAATAGATGTTGATCGAAAATGATAGAAGTTGTTTTTTTCCTTAAGAAAAAAAAAACAGAAAAGTCATGTGACATTTAAACATCTAAATGAGTTTTATTTGGCTGGCCTGAGAGTGGAAATAGCTCTTGAGGCTGTAAATGAGCAGATAAAATTAAGCTTTTGAAATGGTCTCAATCACAACCAACCTTTGTTTTTCTCTTAATTTTAATCTTACTTCTAGCTTAACAAGCAGGAACAAAAGGACGCCAGCGACGTTTGTTTTTTATTGTACGATAAATTTTTTTAAAGTAAGTAAAAATGATCTAATGTAATTATCCCAGGAGCTTGTCGATGGCTAGAAGAAGTGTTGGCTTGATGTTTAAGTTGCTAAGGAAACATAATCAAATATTAGCACAGCAAATGTATCTATTTGAGTGTGCAGGTATAATTTTAACCACAAAAAATAAATAAAACATTGAAGCATCCTATTACTGCATTTGAAAATCTCTGATGTTGTTTGCTGTGATGTAATCCCAGCCTGAATAAAGAACGATCCGAACGTGTCTTCAAAAGCCCAGATTTAATAAAACATTTAAGTATCTACAACAGATTTCAATAGTCTGGAACATATAAAATAAAACTAATTCGTACAACATTTTATTGAAATACTCACCCTCGTCCCGGGAGTAGTCCTCTCCAGAGTGAGGCTCAAACAGATAATCTCCTGTGGCCAGCTCAAACGCCTGACAGAAAACAGTATTATAATAATAATAATAGAAAGGATGTACGATAAGTCGTCTGCGTTTGGACTCGGTTCTGTTCACCATGCAGGCGGTGCTCCAGATGTCCGCCGGCGTACCGTATCCGGCTCCTATCAAGACCTCAATGGAGCGGTACTGTCTCGTCTGGATGTCTTCTGTGAAGTGCTTGTGCTGCTCAAGAGAGGACGACAAACACGGGAGAAGCGTTACGCTGGTGTGAACGTTTCTGGATCGACAACAAATTCCCCAAAATTCTACTGGAGTATTGATTTTTATTATTAGTATTTGAGCGTGAGACACCATTTCTGTTTTCTCATCAACCGCTTTCTGCGCTTCTGCTTTTGTTCCTACATGTCGGCTTATGTAAGACCAAAGATTTCTCAGCCGCTGCTGTGTTTATAGTTGCTGGATCGCACCTCCTGCCAGCTCGTTCAGCTCAGCATCCCGGATTTAATGATTTCTGCTGGCTGAAAAAAATAAATGAGGCCAGACTGACGGCAAACAGTACAACGTGAACGCTGTCTGATGGCTGTCATGTTCCTGATGCTCTTCACCTCCAACACAGACGAGTTCGTTCCTGGTTTATATTACAAATTTATCGCACAATAAAAAACCAAACCAAATTATTTCCCATCGTAAGCAACACTGCACTTGCTTATGATGCATATTTTTTAAAGTATCTGATCTTTACAGTCAGAACCAAACGTTGAAAAGTATTTTTCATTTTCATTTACTGATATTAAAGCGTCTACAGAAAAACAAACATGTCTATTCAAAGGTTCCGGCTTTTTCAAGCATAACCCATTAAAAGTCCAGTTTTCCTCTCACCACCCAGCAGGCGTTTCCGAGGTCAGCGATTTTAACTCTGATGGAGTCGGCGTTGCGGGGGTCCAGCGGGTTGATCAGGAGGTCTGCAGCTCTGGCCCTGACTGGGTGTGGACAGAACGTCACAGTTAGCGCACAACCCTCACCACATTCACCGATACATATGAAACACCAATCAATTCATCTCGTCTTGCAGATTCATAAAAAAAGTTCAGAAAAAAGGACCATTCTTTAGTTTTTGTACATTTATTCAGCCGGATTTAAAAACAATAATTGCTGTTTTCACTATCAGTAATCCATATGAAATGAATGTAAATTAATTGTTAAAGAACTATTTGTTAAGATTCTAAAGGAAGCAATAAGATGTTAGTCAATCTTTCTGGTCACAAAATAGCCAAAAGAAAAAAAAAAAAAAGGTATTTTTTGGACTATAAGCTGCTATTTTTTCCCACGCTTTCAACCATGTGGCTTGGTCGTGTCACTGTGAAGATGGCTACTGTGCGCTGCGCTACTCTCAGGACTGAAAGTAAACTAGAGATGAGTAGAGGAAAAGGCGAAAGATAGGTACCTAAAGAAGGTTAAGTTAGATGCATTTTTAGTTGACACCCGAAATCAACTTATGTGTTTCGCATTTGAACGACAGTAATGCAGTTAATCAATAGTTTGGCTTTCAGACTTCTTCAATAAGAGAGACAGCTGCTGCAGACAAAAAGAGCTTACACACCAACAGACATGTAATCTTACATCAAGCAGCTGCTTCAGCTTCTTCAGCAACGGTTCAAGGTAACGATAGTAAAATGTCAAACGTAGGTGGATGAGTAACTGGTCCTGAGTCATTATAAACAAGCAGAGAGGGACGAGTTTTGGTGGAAAACTTTGAATCAGCCTCAAAAACGGAGATTGTTTATCTCACATTGGTTTGCAGATTCGAATGTTCTGTCTCTGCAGACATTATTCAGCTACGTGTCGATGTCATCTGGGAAGAAGATCATTACTGCAGATGAGAAGAGCGCAGCAACCTGCCAACGAGGTGTTTGACAGTAATAATAAAAACTACGCTTGGATCCTTCAAAGCTATGAGACTCATGACTGATAGATGTTCATTAATTTAAACTATTAATTTACTTTCGCATAGTTATCGCGGTAGAAGCCATTTGTTTGTTAAATACTTAATAAAACATGTTGACCGTGTTTGATGTTTGTTGTGAATGACGTATTAACGAGGTAATCAGTCAAAGTTTGTCGGTTTTTGAATGTTCAGGAACTACTGCGGCCGTCATGCGCCACAGCAAAGGTAAACAAAGATACTGAAAAGGTGATCAAACCACTGGTATCTTTTTATTCTCCGTCTCTCTTTGAGCCTGAATGTTATGTTAAAAACATAACATTCAGTCCGTTCTCTTTTTAGGTTTTCAGGCTTGATAAATATTTTGCAATTATTAATAGGCGCTTTCATGGACACAGCTGTGGTCGATCAGTTCATTTTAAACTTTTTTATTATTTAGGAAATGGAACCGAAACGCAGAGAATTACGCAACGCCTTGTTGAAATAATACTTCCCAACATTGTTATTTTTGTTGGGCCATGGGAACACGTTTTGTTGATTTTTCTTTTTTTTTTGTTGTTGTTGTTCTTTAATAAAGTTCCAAACGTTTTGCCGTTTCGCACCCGTGCTCCAGCAAAGCACGAACAGTTCCAAAACACTATGAAATGAGAAAAAAAGCTACGTCATGTTTTGAAAAACTAATCAGTCACTGTTGATTAGTGGGTGCACTAATCACAGTGATTGATTAGTGCACCCACTAATCAATGGGTGCACTGTTGCACCCATTGACACGTGCTGCACGTGCAAACAGTGATTCTTTGCAGAAGCCACTCCCACTCTCTTGGCGGTACTGCGAACCCCAGCTAAATCTTTCAGTGGTACGCAGTACCCGACCGAACCCGTTTACTTTCACTCCTGCCTGTAGGTAAAAATAATCCCAATATCTCACAAATTCTGCAGCTTTTAATCTGAACTCACAAAAACTGCTTATGCTTGTCAAGTCACTACAATAAACTTTAAGATATGTTGCTGGTATTTTATGTGATAAAACAATATAAATTAGTGCAAGAGTGAAGCAGAAGGCAAATGAAACATGCTTTGTGTTAATGCCGCCTACCTTTCGGCGTGTCTCCTGTGCTTGACGATGAAACGGTGCGACTGCGGTCCGCGGTGGGGCTATTTGTTGCGGGTTCTGTCCCAATGTCCACCGTTCCCACGGGAACCGGGTTTTCTGGCTCGGGGTCCAGAGGCAGGTCGGGGAAGACGGGCACGGCGGCGCGGTGCCGCTCGCTGGAGCCGTTGGTCAGCGCCGGTTCGGCCACTTCGCCGTTGTACATCTCGTACCCGGAGCTGAGCGAGATGTCCCGGTCCGTGTAGCTGAGCTCGGACTCCACCAGGGGGCAGAGGACGGGCTCGGGCGTGGGCGAGGGAGTGGGCGGCGTGCCGGGGTTTTGTCTCAGCGACTCAGAGACCGACAGGACGTGCCCGTTAGTTTTAGCTGAAATGGTTTTAGTGGTCTGCGGTTTAACCGGAGAGGTGCTGTCTGTGAAAAGGTCCGCCGTTGTTGTCGTCGTCGTGTCATCATCGTCGTCTTCTTCGTCTATCTCCTCATACTCCTCCCCCTCCTGCTCCTTTGACTCCTCCTCGTCCACAGCCGCCTCCTCCTCGGCTTTACTCTCAGTCTTTGGTGCCTCTGTTCCGATGTCTCCATCCTCCTCTTGCTTCTCCTCTGCTTGTTCTTCTTCCTTTTCCTCCGTCTCCTGCTCCTCCTCTTCCTTCACATTCTCATTTTCTGTCACTTTCAGTGGCTCCTCCTCCTCGTCGTCCTCTTCCTCCTCGTCCTCTCCCTCCCCATCTGCTTGTCCTGACTCTCCATTACCTTCTTCTGAGGCGGGGGGTATGGGGGCCTCTTTTTCAGCGACAGGCGTGGGCTCTTCTTCCTCTTCCTCTTCCTCCCCCTCCTCTTGTTGGTTATTAGCAGGGATTTGTGGCGTTTCGCTTTGCTCCTGGGGAGGCGCTGCGCCTAATACGAAGACAAGGGCAGAAAAACAGCAAGTGGGTGGAAAGGGGATAAACAGCGAGTTCAGTCAAAGACGATGTAGGCGAACGGAGAGGCAAACTAAAGCGAGTACGAACATGAAAGAGACGGGGGGGCGGAGGAGGAGGCAGACGGAGAAAACGTTTGTTTCTATGAATCAGCTTGGAGCCGATCCACATCCTTCCCATTCACAGGCAGCACAAAACTGCATCTGCATGTTTACAGGCTGAATCACAAGCCATGCCTCCATTCCAGTTGTTGAATTTTTAACATACAACAACGTTTCTCGGCGCATTTCTGTCACCTGGTTTGAACCGAATCAAACACGCCACAGAAAGCATAATTCCATCAGATATAAATATCAGAAATATTTACATTTTGTGTTTAAGATGAAAAATCATTTCTGTCTATGTTTGTATGAACTCCTCAAGTGGCATTTTTAGTTTGGACTCTTTCCGATTCTGTAAAATAGAAAGACAAAAAAATCCCCAATTGAGCAACTTTTGCTTTCCAAATACTAACTGATTAATGCCAAAAATAATCAATAGATTAGCTCTACACTGTATTTATTTATGTTAAGTCAAACAGAAGGGATGGAGATTTCTTTTACCATGTTGACATGGGACGTAATTCTTTAGCCTTTGCTACAAATGGTCAAGCAAACACTTGAATGCTGCTGTTGCATTTTTGGCAACAGTTTTATTTTTATCGTTTTAAACATAAAGGAACTGAATCGTTTATTTGCATTTGTTAATTATATGACTAATATCGTTAAAAATACACTTCAGTGGTTGAATTAAAAATCTGCAGAATGTGCCAATATTTCCGACTGATTGATCAATTAATTGTTAGAATAATCGATTAGGAAAATAACTGTTTTCTGCAGCTATATTCGAAAGCGTCTTGTTGACTCTGTTACGGCCTTTTCCAGGTTGTAAAAAGGTTTGAAACTCTGTGGGTCTGGTGTTGTTCTTAAACTTCCCAACAAATGATACTTCGCAGTTTGATCATTAACGGAGCAGTGATCTTAAACACTCATTAACGCTGGTTCAAAGAATGGACTACGCTTTAAAAGCCAGGTTCGTCTCAGAAAACCAAACGATTTCATGAGAAAAAAATCGGAGATTCACACATTTCTGATGATTTACCAACAGAACTCACATGTATGATTCGTCAACCTGACGGGTCTCTCTCTTTCTCCTCCCTCCTCCTCTTCATCCTCCCCATCCTCCTCGTCATCGTCGTCGTCGTCGCTCTCTCCCAGAGCCATGCTGGGTCCCAGAGGTGCCAGAGGCTGCTGCTGCGGCAAAGACGGGCTGCGTTCAGCGTCTCCTTTGTCGCCGCTCTCTTTGGCTCTCTCCTCCCTGATCTCGGCCTCTCGCTCCAAGGCCTCGATCTCCAACATCCGCCTCTCCAGCAGCTCGGCCTGCCGTTTCTGTTTCTTCTTCAGCTTCTTCTTCTTGTTCTTGGAGATTTTTCCCACCTGGGAATAGAAAGAAAAAGTAGATATGGCCATGAATCAGAGGAAAAAATGCACAAAAAACACTTCAATATAGATATGTAGCATGAGAAATATCAAAGGTGAATTATTCAGTTGTTATTTTTGGCTGATGAGACGTGATGCCAATTTTCACAACTGAAGGCTGTTTGTTAATGTTGCAGAATTGTTTTCAATAAAATCTGAGCAAACCACACATTACCAAATCATATTCTTCTTATGTTCCTGAGTTTCATAGTCATAAACTTTTTAAAAACTCCTTCCTTCTTCATAAGAGGTCAAAAGGTCTCTTTGTATTGCCGATATGCAGAGAGAAAACGATAAAATGATGACTGTGTTGTTTTAATTATCTTGCTATCTGTCTCCCATTCAGCAGGGGGCAGCATACATCCTTCTTTTTTTTTTTTCTTTTTTTTTTTTTATCAATTCCCCCCCAGGCTCTATCAGTACTGTTTTATTTGCCTGGATCTCAGCAGCTTGTGAGCAAGTTCTGCTGACCATGATACAGACAAAACCAAATGCTTACAAACCAAAGCACAGACAAACCTGGATGTGGTGCTCTTAACTTTGCTTTATGCTGTGTGTGAAGTGTGTGTGTGTGTGTGTGTGTGTGTGTGTGTGTGTGTGTGTGTGTGTGTGTGTGTGTGTGTGTGGTGGGTGGGTGTGTGTGTGTGTGTGTTCTTCTTAGTTCATACTCACATCAGACGTACTCACCGGTTTGAGCTGGGGCGCTGTGCTAACTGAAAGACACGGACAGAGAGACAAAGATGAGTGGCTTCAGATTCTGATCGGGTCGCAATCAGGACCTTTAGGTGAAGAGCTGCTCACTGGAAAACAACACACTTCCAAGAACTTTATTGAGATTTTAAGTGACAAACCAACAACAAGCAGGGTTTCCTGTCAGGATTATGTAGCTCCGTTTATTTCAGCTCTGAACAGCTTTCCGCTCCCTTTCAGTCCAATCTTCCTTCATATTGAGACAGGACTTCTTTCAACAATTGTTTTCATAAAGGCTAGTTAAATATATAGATTATACTAGATTATTTAGTCCTGTCAAGATAAAATTTAAGATCTGAGGTAACATATTAAAGGCCGACTTACTTCTTTAATGATTTTAAAGAAATGCAATGTATATTATGTACAATAGACGTTTTTGGACTTTACATTGTGTTATAATGTATTCCCCTCCTCAAAAAACCAAAAAACCTAGAGTGTTACTTTGATTTTTTCACGCATGTTTAAGAAATACTTTTATCTCCATGGTAAACACCTGGACCTCGCCCCGCCTTCAAGGCATAGCTCCTCCTCAGAGCTGCAGTTTCCACGCTTCCGTGCTTCTGCCTCACAGAGAACGCCACTGAGCTCCTTCAGACTAGCCAGCAGCAATTAGCAAACAGTTGGTGGAACTGCACATCTGCTGAGCTCGAAATGTGAACTACATCTCAGTGCAATGCTGGTACAAATGTTGTTAAAGGGTTAACAGAGGAGCCATGTGATGACTTCCTGAAGTCTCAGAAAGAGCAGGAATTGTAAAGAGACAGAGGCCCAATTGCAAGGCATTAATCAGAAAATAAAATTTCTTTTAAGTGATATTTGAAATGTATAGCATTTTCATAACAACTGATACAACTGGGTAGTATCCCCTTTAAGGCCCTGATTTTAGATACATGGATGTAAAATTTGTGGACATCTTGGAGTGACAGTTATGCCAAACATTTTACATATTTTATTGAACAGTCTTCTGTAAGATGTTGAGATGAGCTTAACCCAGTTTTTCCAAGAGGGTCAGCTTAAAAGAAGCCGAATAATAAAAAAAAAAATAAATAAATTTTTTTTTTGAAATTATGCACCACTTTGTGTTGGGGTGGACATGAAATCCGGGGAAAACGCAACCGCTTTGGTGGGTTTTGTTGGGAGTTTAAATGACAAACAAATGAAGAAGCATTACTCGTGCACACCCACTGCCTTCCTTTCTCGTTTCAGATCGATGAAAGCCTTCAATTATTTACTGCAGTCTTAAACACATTAGACATCGCTGCTCCTACCTGCTTTGCAAACATGGAAAATTATGAATGTGCAGCCTCTCATATTTTTCCCTTAAAGGCTCATAGACATGCACACTCTGGATTGATAGACAGAAACATGTCGTTATTTTTGGAAATCCCTCATTATTATTTTTGAGACTTGTAGAAGAAAATCCTCTGTATTAGGGGACAGAATCTTTCAGCTTTATGAAATATTCTGAAACAGTCACTCCATTTAAACCTTCAAAACTACATTTCAAAGAGCCAGTAGCCAAAGTTGTACATGAGACGAACGACAGGCATTTATGTCGCCATAAAAAGAGTGAACTTGCTCTGCCTCTTCAGTCGCAGACCGACTCTGCCACCGCTGTCGAGCACTCTTTGTTTTCAATGTCGGTAGTTGCATTCCCTTTCAAATGTACAAATGCAAGCTGCTGAAAAAGACTGACTGATGCAAGCATCTGACAGCTCACACTGGGGTTCAGCAAGAGGACAGGGTTCATATCCAGTTTTTGGAACATTTTTTTCCAGTGGAAGAAGTTGTTGTGAAGAAAAAAAATGCATCTTCAAAGCACCAAAGGGAGGCAGCCGAGGAAGCAGAAAGAAGCTCATTCCTTTCTGTGCAACAAGAACTTTATGATCCTTTTGAAAATAAAAAATTAAAAATCTGCTTCATTAGATTTTACTATGCTTTTTTTGTGGGTTCTTGAATATTTAATTCAATATTTAATATTCAAAATCAGTTGCTATTCTACTCAAATGCTTTCAAATTTCAACAGAAGTAATGATCATTATTAGGAAACTAGAAACATGTCAGTGACGAATCTTTAAAAAGCTGACATAAGTGTTTTGTTTTTTTAATTTTATTTTGCTTTTAAAGAACATCATCTCTGAAAAGGGTTTTTTCCTAAATGTTTTGTGTTTCTTGGTAAAGAGAAAAAAAAGTTTCAGTCTTCCCAGCCACAAAATGAGAAATAGGTCACTCTTTCTTTAAAAAAAAAAAAAAAAAGACTGCTGCATTTGGCCAAGTATAGTAAACGGGAGCTTTTAAACAGAATGTTTAAAAGCAAAGTCCCTCTTGACCTTTGACACCCAGGCACTGAAATACCACTAGTTTGATGGGGTTTTGGTATTCAGGCCCAAAGTTACGTTTTATTTGTAACTTCAATAAAACTGATATATACAATTTGATTAAAAGACATTAGAAAAAAAAAGCTTAATGAAAAAGATTTTTAACTTCTATTTTGTGTTAATGTAACTTAAAGCACACAGTGCAGTGTGTCCCATATGGTTAACGTACCTAAAATAATACTTTTTGTTATGATAGTTGTTCTAATAACAGCAACAACTCTGCACCAACAGACCGAGTTTCATTTACGTTTAATTGTATTAACAATGTTCATAAATGGGGGTAAAAAAAAAAACAATACTAAAAATGTTTATGAAAGCAGTGTTTGCGTTGGTACCAGCTGATCCAGATGGGGGTGGCGCTCCGGTTCTCTGCCACTCGGTGGCCTCCATGGCCATGCGCCTCACGAACACGTCGTCCACACACATCAGGATGTTCTCAGGTTTGATGTCGGTGTGGATGATTTTACACTTCGTGTGGAGGTAGTCCAAACCCTGCAGGACCTGCAAAGACATTTAAAGCAACACACATTCATAAGAACGCTGATTTTTCTCTCCTTCAACATTTTCTCTCTTTTTTTTTTTTACATATTAACAATATATGTAAAAACATTTGGATGAGTACACTCATCCAAAACCAAACAGTTCATCTTTTGGAGGGTTTTTTTTCATGTGGCTTTCTTTTCTTTTTGGATATTGAAGAGGAAAACAGCCTCATTTATCACTCTATTCATCGTCTGGGCAGCTCTCGAGATGCAGACTGAAAGAGTTCAACAACTTCACATGCTGATCAGGTGGCTGATGGGAAAATGCCCCCAAGTCTTGTGTCTGAGAACAGCAGCGTTGCTCTAGTCTAAATTGAACCACTGTCTGCATCTCTTGTCTTTGACCCAACTGAATTATAAACTTTGTTGTGTTGCCTCGAAATCACTGGCTGACTGCTGTGTGTGTTTTTGGAGTCTTAATGGGGACCCAGTATGAACAGTCGTTGCCTCTTCCCCCGCTTTGCAAACAACTATCATGCCTTCAGCTCAGTAATAAATGTAAGAATATAAAGTAAATGGTTGCTTTATGCCATTATTATCGTTTGTGAGCAAAGAAGCAGCAAAGAAGCTTTGGGTGCGTTCAGACGTCGACCATTTCTCACAAAACCGTCATTCTTAATTTATTCAACTGAAGGTTTTATCAACCGGTGTGCTTAAACAAAATTATTTGTTCTTATTAAAGAGGAACACCAACCATGAAGCTAGTGCTTCAAAAGTAATGGAAACGTATAAATTTTGAAGCCAGAAATTCTGGCTCGTTTTTCTTTCTGGTGACAAATTCATGTAAACGATGTCTTTGAGTGACACAAAAATAGTAAAAGGTCCTCCTATTAAGTCCACTAAACTAAAGCAAACCTCTAATAAGGTCATCAGGTTACATTTCTTATTTTGTTTATAAAAAGATAAAACTTTTTTTTTAAAAAAAACCCTCTTGGATGAAAAATTATCACACCCACTTCTTCCATCCATGGCAAGATGCATTTTTTTCTGACATATAGATGAGTCCCTAATATTAATAACGCCTACTGATTTACCTTGGTTTTAACACAATAATCCAGCCAATAATGCTCTGTAAGATGAGCCGGCAGAAAGCTAAAGCTTCCCTTTTATACATGAAAATAAACAATAATTCAGATCATTATGAATATTATATATATATATATATATATATATAAAAAAAAAAAAAAAAAAAAAATTCCCTTCTCACCCACCGCGGGTGGTTCTTATCCTCTGAGCTCGGGTCCTCTACCAGAGGCCTGGGAGCTTGAGGGTTCTGCGCAGTATCTTGGCTGTGCCAAGGACTGCACATTTCTGGACTGAGATGTCTGATGTTGTTCCTGGGGATCTGTTGTAGCCACTGCTCCAGTTTGGGGGTTACTGCCCCGAGGGCCCCGATGACCACAGGCACCACTGTGGTCTTCACCTTCCAGGCTCTCTCAGTTCTTCCCTGAGGCCCTGGTATTTCTCCAGTTTCTCGTGCTCCTTTTTCCTGATGTTGCAATCACTTGGTATTGCTACATCTACCACAACGGCTTTCCTCTGATGTTTATCCACTACGACAATGTCTGGTTGGTTCGCCATTACCATTTTGTCTGTCTGGATCTGGAAGTCCCACAGGATCTTAGCTCTGGCGTTCTCCACCACCTTTGGGGGTGTTTCCCACTTTGATCTCGGGGTTTCCAGTCCATATTCTGCACAGATGTTTCTGTACACTATGCCTGCCACTTGGTTATGTCGCTCCATGTACGCTTTCCCTGCCAGTATCTTGCACCCTGCTGTGATGTGCTGGACTGTCTCAGGGGCCTCCTTGCACAACCTACACCTTGGTCTTGTCTGGTGTGGTAGATCTGGGCCTCTATTGCTCTGGTGTTTAGGGCCTGTTCCTGGGCTGCCAGGATGAGGGCCTCTGTGCTGTCCTTGAGTCCAGCTTTTTCCAGCCATTGGTAGGATTTACTGATATCAGCCACTTGGGTTATTTGCTGGTGGTACATCCCATGTAGGGGTTTGTCCTCCCATGATGGTATCTCTGGCACCTCAACCTCCGTTCCCTGTTGTCTGAGACATTCACTGAGCACATTGTCTGTTGAGGCTTTGTCCCTGATGTATTTATGGATCTTAGTTGTTTCGTCCTGGACAGTGGTTCTCACACTCACTAGTCCTCTGCCTCCTTCCTTGCGGCTCGTGTACAGTCTCAGGGTGCTGGATTTGGGATGGAACCCTCCATGCATTGTTAGTAGCTTTCTGGTCTTAATATCTGTGGCTTTTATCTCCTCCTTTGGCCAGCTAATTATTCCAGCAGGGTATCTGATTACTGGCAAGGCATAGCTGTTTATCGCACAGATTTTGTTCTTGCCATTGAGCTGGCTTCTCAGGACTTGCCTTATTCGTTGGAGGTATTTAGCTGTGGCTCCTTTCCTTGTGACCTCATCGAGGTTGCCATTTGCTTGTGGTATACCTAGGTACTTGTAACTGTCCTCTATGTCTGCTATTGTTCCTTCTGGGAGTGAGACCCCTTCTGTGTGGATGACCTTCCCCCTCTTTGTGACCAGCCGACCACATTTCTCTAGTCCGAATGACATCCCAATGTCAGTGCTGTAGATCCTGGTGGTGTGGATCAGTGAGTCGATGTCTCGCTCACTCTTGGCATACAGCTTGATGTCATCCATGTAGAGGAGGTGACTGATATTGGCCCCATTTTTGAGTCTGTATCCGTAGCCAGTCTTGTTGATAACTTGGCTGAGGGGGTTCAGGCCTATGCAGAACAGTAGCGGGGACAGAGCATCTCCTTGGTATATGCCACATTTGATGGACACTTGTGCAAGTGGTTTGCAGTTGGCTTCAAGGGTGGTTTTCCACAGCCTCATCGAGTTTGCAATGAAGGCTCTCAGAGTCCTGTTGATGTTATACATCTCTAAGCATTCAATGATCCAAGTATGCGGCATTGAGTCATAGGCTTTCTTGTAATCAATCCAAGCCATGCACAGGTTGGTGGTGTCGGGTTTTGCAGTCTCGGGCAACTGTGCGGTCTACGAGGAGTTGGTGTTTGGCTCCTCTGCTATTTACACCGATACCCTTCTGTGCCGTGCTCATGTGTTTATCCATGTGTTTGCTTATCTTGGCCGCTATGATGCCTGACATGAGCTTCCAGGTTGTGGAGAGGCAGGTTATTGGTCGGTAGTTGGGTGGGACTGGACCCTTTGATGGATCCTTCTGGATTAGGATTGTCCGCCCTTCAGTTAACCATTCAGGGTGAGTCCCACTTTGTAGCAGCTGGTTCATTTGGGCTGCCATTCGCTCATGGAGAGCAGTGAGTTTCTTTAGCCAGTAGGCATGGATCATGTCAGGCCCTGGTGCTGTCCAGTTTTTCATACCTGAGACTCTTTCTTGGACATCTGTCACAGTGATGGTTACCGGGGCTTGCTCAGGGAGGTTGCTGTGGTCCTCTCGTAGAGAGATCAGCCACTGTGCATTGCTGTTGTGGGACGCCTCCCTTTCCCATATGCCTTTCCAGTATTGTTCCGTCTCCAGCCTTGGTGGGTCTGCTCTGTGTTATTGTTACCCTGCCATTGAGAGTACACCTTAGCTGGTTGAGTGGAGAAGAGCCGGTTAATCCTTCTGGATTCATTCTCCCTTGTGTATCTCTTTAGGCGGCTGGACAAGGCTTGGAGCCTCTGTTTGGCAGTCTCGAGTGCTTCAGGTATGGGCATCTGCCTGTACTTTCTGGGTACTGGTCTTTTCATTGCACCCTTGTGGAGCTCTGACAGTTGGCTCACTTCCCTCCTTGTTACCTTGATTTTAGCCTCTAACCGTCTTTTCCATGGTGGGTATTGGGTCTCATGTTGCTCTTATAGCCAAGTATCTCAAGGATCACTGATGCTGAGTTGTAGATCAGCTCATTGGTTTCTGTTATGGTGTTGGTAGGGATCGTTCTCAATGCTGCATTCACATTCTCAATGAGACTTTCAGATGGTACTTCACTCAGCCGTTGTAATTGGCGCCGGGGAGGCCTGGTTGTCATTCGGGTCATGATTCTCTCTCTCAGGTCAGCAGCTGTCTCGTTCAGCTCTGTTTCGCTCATTGGGGCCGTGTATCCCCTCACTGGGTGGGACTTGTAGTTAAGTCCCCACAGTCCTGACATCCGGGTTCCTCCCTTTTGCCGTAGCATTTGTTGTATATCTCGTCAATCTCAAGTTGTGATAGCAGTTGCCGTTTGCGGATGTTGGAACACTGAGCTACTAGTTGTTTAGCGCTTAGTGTTGACTGGGGATGTCGAAGTAACCATTCCTTCCCCAGTCTTTGCATGTAACCTCTCTCACTAGGGTTACTTGAGTAGTAGCATTCCAACAGATCCACATTTTCATCTCTCGCCCATTTCCGTCTTGTTCCAGTAGCCCATTTGTCATCAAGGTGCTCTGGTTCCCCAACACCTGACGCAGACCTTGTTTGGCCGGGCGACGTCTGAGCCGGCATGTTATGCAACTTAGTATCTCTCATGGTATGAGGTAGGCGGTAGCTTGAAGGGTCTTGCCTAAGGACCCAGACTGGATTCGAACCCTGCCCTCTCGGGTGATATACTGATGCCTTATGTATTGAGCTATCCAGTCAGCTACATATATATATATATATATATATATATATATATATATATATATATATATATATATATATATATATATATATATAGTCATATATATATATATATATATATATATATGAATATATATATATATATATATATATATATATATATATATATATATATATATATATATATATAACAAAACAAACAGAGCATGGCACTAATTCATGTTAAATGCAGATTAAATGTGATTCCTCGAGGGGATAAAAGGTGTCAAACTGGGATAATTTGATGAATTGCCATGTTTCGGGTGCTTCATCCATATTTAATGGAATCCACCACAGTGTGTTGCTGCGTGTGTGTTATCACCTGTCTGATAATGCTCTTGACACACGGCAGCGGCAGACCTTGGTAGTTGGATTTAATGATCCATTTCAGCAGGTGATGACCCAGGACCTCAAACACCATACACACATCTGGTTAGACGAGTCAAGGGCTGCCAATATGCATCTCTGACGGGAACGTTCGTAAAATCACAAAACGGGCAAAACGCTCGACAAGGATACGTATGCCGTTGACGCCAGAGATCTTGAAGTCGTCTATCAGCTGCACCACCATGTCTTTGTTCGGGTCGCCAGGGTCGCTCTCTCTCACCTGGTGATGAAATGAACGAGAGGGAACTATGTTAAAACAGAAGAAGAAGACGAAGAAACAACAGAGGCAAACGTCGAGAGAATAAACAGAGGTGAACAATTGCAAGATCAAAAGAAGAAAAAAGACTGGAAATGATAAGATAGGAAGAACAAAAACCCAAATACAGATTTAAAAAAATAAATAAATAAACCAATCAGATTCTCACACAACGCAACAATTTGATCTCATCCAGGGCCGTTTCTGTGTAGTGCTGGGCGCTCTTCACCACCTTCATCGCCACAAAGTTCTTCACTCTGTAGTCCAACACAAACACAGACGGGCAAGCTGAGTGACAGACTCGACTCCGAATCCCTGCTTGGTTTTCTCTGAGGAAACTTGTGTCATTATGCGATTATAGAGCCGAGTGAAGAGATATCCCACGTGGGGTTCCACAAGGCTCTGCTCTCGGGCCATTTTTAACTGATATGTATATTCCTCTAAAATCACTCTGGGCGCCCAGGAGCAAAACCAAACTAAAGGGAGGAAGGATTTAGTTGCGAAATCAGCTCTACGGAAAACATTATTGCACATCGCAAAGCATTTTTGCTTTGTAAATTAATGTATATTTTTTACCTTTGAATTTAATATTTTATTTTACCCTGCCTTTTTTATGTTTTAATTACCATGCATGTACAATTTTGCCTTCTCTTGCCTTTGCAGAACATTTCTGTGCTGTTATTAGCTCCAGCATGCTGGGAAAGCCAGCCTAATAGTAATTAATGATATTTTGAGAAATGGAGAGACTCATTTCTTGGCAGGTAAACTTGCATTAGGAAGCAAATAATCCAACAACTCAAAGTAATAATAAAAAGACATAGATGACAAGCTGCTGGGCTTTTTTTTATAGGAAACTATAGATCATAGTTTACAGTTATTGAGTCTGATAGAAAATTTATAGCTGTAGTTTTAAGCTCAGAAAAGCTAAGACTGATGTTTCTAAGTATGTTATATCAGTAGACGTTTTTATTTATTTAGTAATACCCCATTTTAATAAAAAAAATACTTTTCCAAGCAGTGAAAGAAAATCAAAAGAAAATAAACATTATATGCATCGGTATATAATGACAGAATTTTTCTAATTTAAATCAGGATCCACAATTGCAATCTTAATTTTTTGTTTTGAAGACAAAATAAAAGAGAACATTGGAAGAAAGGATGTATGTCGAAGGAATTAACCCACTGTTAAATTTACAAAAACAAAAGATACAGTTTATTTGTCTAACACCGTGTTGGAGTTTGGTTCCAAAATAGTAACCGAACCCCAACTTATTTTCAACATTAGTGTCATTAACACCAGCGGCCCGAGTAAATGAGTTTGTGAGTCAGTGAGAAGTTGCTCCTGGTTGCTGATCCTGTCAGCCATCTGGCCTGGTTGCCACGGCAAATAGAGTTATAGTTCAAGCTGACAGATTCGGTTTCCAGCGCAGGACGGTGTTGGTTGCAGTTGTCAGTGAGGAGACGAGCCGGATTCTGTCAACAAGTGCATGTGTGGTGTGCGCTTGCGGTGCGTGTGACGTGCGCTTCAAAGCCAGCACCTGTATGTGTCAACTTCAGCGCTATGAGTGAGTGCCGTTTCTGGGTCACGTCTGTGTTTGTAGAGGATGTGCAGACAAAAAAAAAACAACAACCCCGAAACACTCAAAGGGCAGATTGTGCTGCAGTGAAGGTGTTTGTTTCATGAGACTCACTGTATGTCCCAGCACAGCCATACTGTGGAGAAGTGGCCCCATCCCAACTTCCTGATCACATGGTACCTTCCGTTGAATAAATCCCCGATCTTCACCGGATGGTATCCTCCTAAGAGAGATGAAGCAAGGAAGGTGAAGGTCACACAGAGAGCTGCATCTGATACTAACACAACGGCAAGCTAGGACTTTAAGGAGCATCTACGCAACACAGATACACGCTACACGGAAACGTAACGTTAAAGATATTTGTTTGATGTTACATCAAATATTTTTTATGCAAAAATGTGGGTTTTATGCAGTGTATGTTTAATAGTAAGAATAATTTATTTAGCCCTAACTGCATATCTAACATATGCATCACTATTTACGGGAATGGTAGCCAAATCAGCTGGAAACATTTCCAATCATATACTATGCTATGCAGACACTCTGTCTGCGCTGATGAACATCCTTCACTTAAAATGACTGACATAATAGCAGACTATCAATCTATCAAATAACTACTTTAAGTCCAGAAAAGCGAAGAAAGCAAAAATGTAATCAATTGTTAAATTTACACTTTTCATCCTAATACAAAAGCAATGTGTCACCTGAAAAGCAACACATGTAGTAGGGTTTTGATGATGCGCTTTGTGCCTTTATTATTAACAATTATTTTCTATCAACAGATATGAAAAATATGTAAAACTGTAGCTTGAAACGCATCAGTATAACAGTCACCATCAATAAGCTCTGGAATAATGGAGTAAAGACATATTTCCATTAATTTAAATATTTTCTCCCCAGCACTTTGATCAAATCAATCCATTATAGATTTCACATTTATTCAGGTCTCAAATGGGCAATTAATATTAAAACAAATATGTGACTATACAAAGACATAAAAACTAAAAGTATCAAAAGTTAAAAAGTAAAAAACAATTAAACAAACAAATATAATGTCTTTATAATTAAACAGGCAGAAATGCCATTGAGCTGAAATCCTCTTTAGGATTCAAAAACTGAAAATACAAATAATCACCACTTTCACTTCCTTTTATATTCTTACATATTATCTGCAGAAATTACAAAAACCCTGATCAAGACCAGAATCTGAAAAATTATCCATTAATACTACTATATAAACATGAATCAATTTATGGTCTGGTGTAAGCATGATTTGTTGTGTACAAGAGTTTATTTTAAGCATGACAAATGAGTCAGTGAGTGAAAGCTCAAAAGCCTGCATGAATGGTGAGATTTCCACAGGCTGTCACAACAAAAGGTGAAGAAAAAGGACAGGATACAAAAGTCATTAAGTTTAAAGCTTCAAAAAGAAAAGCCTCTACTCATAAAATACTTTTACACTGGTAGAAAAGGTGCTGCAAAGTAAACAGTGTGTTGAAGTTGCCAAATTAAAAACAGATTTTTCTTTCTTCAATGATTTGAAAGCAAAGTATATAAAAGAAATGTTATTATTTCACTTTTCTGATGAATTCTTGTCTTAGTAAAGTGAAAACTGACAGTTTGACTGTTTCCTTAGAAAAATAACTCACTGTGTCCAGTCAGAAAGCTTTTGTAGCGTTGATGGCGTTTGATCAAAACTCAGCAACACTGATAATTACTAAACTAATAAATAAATTCGTAAAGGACAGATATATTGTTTTAGAGCTGGGAAACCTGAATATCTGGTCATTTTTCTTTTGAAGTGCACTTCTCTGAGATAACAGGCTTTTTTTCCCTGCTCTCCATGAAGCCTCCTTCTCGACTTCTCTGGTATTTGAGGTCATAGTTCAGATATTTGAGCTTTTCAGATGCTCTCAGTTGGAAAAACAATGCCTTTTTTTAGTTACCACAATTACTTCTCATAACTAGTGTCCAAAAGTAACAAATATAATGTCTTTATAATTAAACAGGCTTTAATTATAAAGAAGGAGTGATTTGTGCAAACTTCCATGGCCTCAACCAAAAGAAAAAAAAAACTAAGGAAGAACAAATCAAAACTAACAAAACAACAATAACAAATGGTTCTGGGGAAGCAAAACAACAAAGTGACGTTTGTGAGCACAAAGTTTCATCAGGGTTTCCCACATTCTATTATAAGCCTGGCAGGCTATCAGACTTTACTTGTATCCCCACCAGGCTAAGCATTGCTTATTTATTTAAATCTTTTTAAAATGTTTGCATTTTTTAAGACTTTATAGTTGGTGTTCAGGTAATTTTCCAATCACACATAATTATCAAGTGATATATACAAATTTTCTGTCAAATTTAAACATTTTTAACCCAAAAACACGACAGACCGCTGGATAAATTACTACCCTAGCGCCCTTATTCTGGGTGAAATCTTGTTTCATACTTAATAAAATGTGCAGTTATATCCTGTTTTCTGATTTTTATACATGTCTACCAGTTCAAAATGTCTGCTGCCATTCACAGATTGCATTATTAAATTACAAAATAACTACTTTCTCAAAACATTAACCCCGTTTTTGTATCCACAGCAATTAGCTGCAGCTCAGACTTGTTTTCTTTTTCTTTCTTTTTGAGGTAAAGTAACCAAATTAAAGAAATTCTTTAACTTCAAATGTGCTGACTAAGCATAACAGTTATTAACTTTCTTATAAGATACATATGTAGTAGCTTCATGTGAAATGTTTGGGTTGAGCATGTTGAAAACTAAATGCAGACAGACTTGCAGAGTTTATCGTGGGTCTCCATAGAACATCATTTCAACACCTTTGTTGCGATAGTGTGGTTACACTTTCATGAGATTAACAGTGACTCAATTGGAAAAAATATGATATGCATTTGAACATTAATACTGGTCAGAATGGGAGCAGAAATTACAGGATCTTCCTGAATTCTGCAAGAATTCTTGAACTTTTTTTTCAAATATAGGTTTTTCCTCTGTGGCAAATTACAAGCAAACTGTGTCTTTTGGTTGCTTTTCCAACTGACTGCTTGCATGCAACATTTTTATCAACTTTCTCCTATTAACTAGATAAATCAGCACATATATGTAAGATCTTTGAGTTTACATTTAACCTGGACATTTTGCTTTCACTACTTTTATTTTAAGTGGCAACTGCATTACGCTCTGATCCAGAATTCAGTATCAAATGTCTCAATTCTCAGCTACATGCGTTTACCCTTGTTAAATGTTTCTTTATTTCAAATATGGACATAAATAAAACTTGCGAGTTTTAAGCTAGACACAAGTGAGAAACGATTAGTAATAATGAGTAAATATTTAGAATTTTAACATGGAAAATTCTTACTTCAGTTTATTCTTTACAGAATTTTGCACAATTTATAAAAAAAAATAACACACTTAAACGCATAAAATGAATTTGTCATTGTAAACGACAGTTTCTCCTTTCTTGCAGGAGCACAAAGAAACCTTGAATTGTTTGAGACACGCTAATGTTTATATAATGTCATATTCCATAACACTGTTGGAAATCTCATCAGGATGTAACAGAGAGAGGAAAGAAAAGGAACAAAATGGAGGGGGGGATAAAAAACAAAACACGCCATTATCGAGCTCTGTGGGACAGATGTGGAGGGAGGGAGGTCCCAAACGGACAAATCGAGAACGTGAGGGTCTGTAACGCTGACCTTTACAGTAGTCTGCTGGGTCCTCCTGCTCCTCATCATCAGAGCCCAGGATCTCTTCCTCCGGCTCTGTCGGCCCTGCCAGCTCAGGTGGAGGTGGAGGAGGTGGCGGGGGAGGGGGCGGGGTACTAACCGGGGCTTTCTGCTGGGTTTCAGGCCTGTGAACACAACATTGAAACCAAACTCAGCAAACCTGAACTGTATTGCTTGGTTTTTGTGTTTCGAGCCATGACTCACAAGGACGACTGTAAACAGAGCTCTAAGAGCAGATGACTCATTTCAAAGTTAGGCGTGCTTTCATTCAGACATCAGCTTTTTAAACACTATCAAGGGATTGAGAAGGGATGACACTGTCGATAAAAAGAAGCATTTTTATCAGAGACCCCATCAGACAGAAGCACTATTTGGTTGTACTGACGTTTTTGTTTTCTGAGTGACGAAACTTCAAAGTCAGCGACTTTCATCATCAGCGAGGTGGTTAAAATAAATTCCCAGAGATGTAAAATGCTATTTGGAAGAAAATTGTATTTCATAGCGATTCATTCGGCTGCAAGACAGGAGGAGAAATCAAGACATGTAGCAAAAACAACTGAACATGAAGTTGACGTTTTATCTTTCTGAGCTTTCAACATCTGCCTGTCATGAGACATGATGGATTTGGAGAAGTTGGTAGAAATCTAAAGTGGGCAAAATTTATATTTACAAGACAAAACTTGAGCCACAAAACTGGTCGCTCATTTTATAGTAAGAACAAAACAGACGATGGTAAAATCAAACGATTAAAGCTTATGAGAATCAGTTTGGAAAGTTTCAAGTAGTTTCAGGTAGTGACATTCAAAATGCAGCTTAACATTTTCTGATTAAGGAACAGTCACATCTTAACTGTGGTGTCAAAGTTATCTCTAAGGCCTTGTTCACACATAGCTGGGTATAAAAACAAATATTTCTGCCTCATAGTTTTAAAAAAAAGCAATATTGGACACATGTGATCAGTTTCAGAAGTTTTTATCTGCACAAGTACAGACCTCAGCATTGTTTTAGACATGCCAGAGCCCTAGGGGGCAGTGTAGCGCAAAGCAAAAACCTGTCAGCTAATCAGATTGCGTCAAAACAACCATGACTTCCTGTTTTGAATTAAACGTGGCACCCGAGAGTACATTTGTGTTGACAGATATTCAGGTTGAACTATTTTTTTAAAAGTGCATTAGAATATAAACTTTATAAAACACGAGACAATGTTGATTGGGAACTGTCTCAAAGCAAGCACATGGGATATGTCGATGCGTTATTTGACAGACTGTGATGTGCGGGACCCTAAATCTCCGTTTTCCCGCAGGTGCACATGCAAACACAAATAAGTTGGTGGTGAGTCATGTCAGAGTTTTTCTTAATATAAAATAATAATTTGAATGATATTAAACAGAGTTTTTTTGTGTAGATTTAAGGCCAATGTGCAAAATAATGTGGACTAAGACCTAAAACAGAATCAAGAAACCAAACACTTTGGACTTTGTTAGGCTGCACAAAATCTGTGGCTACAGGATCCAACAACCTATCTGTTTGTTGCCATGGCAACACCAGCAAAAAAGGGGGCCTGATGGGTTTAGGTCTCAAAACCTCAACATTGTGACGATGCGAAGACGCATGCACACATGCAGACAGGATTTTGGGGTCGGAGAAGGGAGATAACTTGACATTGAGATTTCATTGTGATTTTACAGCTCTATCAAGCATTCACACACGCACACACACACACGCGCGCACACACACACACACACATGCAGGCTGTCAAGGATCTCTGTCCTTGCAGCAGGATGTTCCGTCCCTCTTTACCAAAACAGTCACGTAGAGTGTCATACATCACATCTATAAGCTCAGTGCTTTTGTGAGACTCATCCTGCTATTGGCTTTACTAATACTTACCCCTCACCTCTATAACTTGCTGAAGCCAAGCTTAGCTGTAAGAAGAATTAAAACAGTCTCTTTAAGATGGGCAGAGGAGGCATGGTTGCAGGAAGAAAAGAAAACCCGGCGGGGGAACAGCTTAAAACGGCTGCAGAAACAAACAAGACACTGGAAGGCTGAGAAACACAAAGGTGAGATGGAAAAACGCGAACAGAGATGTGGATAATCGCAGGAAAACAGAAGCCACAGACACAGGTCTGAGGCGGAGACCAGAGGGGGAGAATAAACAGAGATTATTCAGGCACAGAAAAAGTCCAAATACAAAACCTGCATACGGAAACGGGTCGCCGCGATCGGACGCAACAAAAAACAGTAACAGGTCAGGAAAGACAAAAGATGAACACTGACCACATGAAGGTAGATTTTTGACAAGTTGGGTAAAATTGAGCAACTCACAAGCCACAGTGGCAGATTCACTACTTAGAAATAGAAGGGGTGGCTATTTATCGTATTGTTTATCATTTGTCATTCATCGTGACAGATGTCTTACAATACAAATTTTGATTAATCGTTACAATAAATTCCGATTAATGATGTTTAAAATAATCCAAAAAAATGATCGGTATTGTTGGGATAGTTTGTTCAATCAGATAATCAATACATTTTTAAAAATGATTAAATGCAGTTGCTGTGTGCAGATTAGTGGTATAAATCACACTTATTTATGCGACTGGTGCCCTATGGAAGCATGTTACAAATGGGGAAATTTTTCAAGCACAGTTTGTGGATCTATAATTGTTGTGTCATGCAGTCACGCGACACGGTCACCTAAAGAAAAAAAGTGAATAATTTTTATCCCTTTTATTCTCATCACAAAATATTGCGCTAAAACCGGAAGTCCATGTTACCGTTCCCGACTAAAGCGTTATGCAGAAAACAACACATGAGGTTACATCATTTTATTAATAAGGAGTGGAAAATAAGTGATAATATGAGAGAGCAGTCATTGTTCTGCTCCTAGTATCAATGCTGCCATTTTTGTTTGCAACTTTGTAGAGGTTTAAACCTCTTCTTTGAAAATATGAGTAGTCAGAGTGACACCTGAGTAACTGGGTAGGTTGTTTCATAGAAATGTATTATGAACCTAATAAATGCCTATGTCTATTTAACTGTGTTGAAAAATCACATGGTCAAACGGTTAGAAATAACACATCAGGTAAATACAGACATTGTGAGTAAGCGTCAGCTAATAGAGTCAATTTTCTTCTTTTTTTTTTTTTTAAAGGTCCCTTTAATTTTCACGTTACCAGAGCGCCCAAGAGTTCATGGTCTTATCCCATTATGGTCCACATGTGTTCACATTGTGAGCTAAAAGCACAAAATAACCCTACAATTAATAGCTGCAAGGCAGAAAACACCCTGAATATCAAGATAGCTTAAAGACTGCTATCCTCTTGTCTTGAAAAGTGTTCTTGCCACTTGGCTTTTTCACATTTTCTTGTTACAACTGCAAACAATGTATAGCAGTGTATTATAAGCCTGGCGGGCCACCAGGCTTTATTTGGGCCCCCACCAAGCTTAACATTGCTTGTTTATTTAAGTTTTTTTTTATGTTTGCATTTTTAAGACTTTATAGTTGGTGTTCAGCTATTAATCTTCCAACAACACATAATTGCCAAATGATATTGTCAAATATCTTGTCAAATTAAAAAAAAAAAGAATTCACTCAAAAACATGACTGGTCACCAGATGATTGACTGCCTGAGGGCCCCAACCAGTGGGCTTAGCAAGTTTTCTGGGGGAAACCTTGTTTCATACTTAATAAAATGTGCAGTTTTATCTTGTTTTCTTATTTAATATATCTCTACCAGGATGTATCCACACAGAGTAATGCAGAATTGAAACGTTGGTACATTGCCTTAGAAGGTAAACATGCTGGAAACCTGCTTTCTCCTTTAAGACGCTGTCAACTAATGTTCTCTTATCAAACCTCTGAGGCGTTTGCAGAACAGCTGGATTTATATCGACATCAAATTAGTTGTGGAAGAAACTGTAGAGCAGCAGTTTATTGGGTTGGCAATGAACTTTCAGAAACACTGTGTGTACAAGTGAACTTTTAAGCATGTTTTGCTCTAATGTAAATGGACTGAGCCAGTGTTTATGTTGCCGAGTCCTTAAACCTCGACAAGTAATCCAGAAATAAATCCTCCTCGCTTCGACGTTCGAAAGCGCGGTTTCAGTCGATGTAGCTGTAAATTGCAAGTCTAGACAAGAAGGTTTCAGCCAATAAAATGGCACACAGCGTGAGGGGAAACTACCGCAGAATGTGTCATCCATCCATCAACTTCTTATGAGTATTGACATGTCCAGACTGCTTCGTCACGTCTTTTACCCCGGCGTGAGTCTCTGTACGTCTGGCTGTGTGCAGTTTTCCCCATCTCTCTGCTCAGGCCCTGTAATGGTATCTCCAACCCCAGTGAGGAGAAAAAAAAAGGACAAAACAAACAGGCCAGCATGTTTTTCTGGGTAGTTTGCTGACAGAAAAGCGCTCCTCCTCCTGAGCAAAATTAGCTCAGTACATTCCAGAGTGACAAATGTTCAGGTTGATGGAAAGATGTCGACATCATGTACATTATTCACACCTGAAAACCACCTAAGTCATGCCGTCTGGTGAAGTTTATGACAGCAGAGTAATGGTCAGAGAGATAGTCTATGTCAATGCTGATAAGAGGAGATTTCCTGTTAATAAACAAATAATAATTATTCTGTTGTTGTGAGGGATCCAGAAGTCTACATGTCTGGTCTTTGACTTGCCAGTTTGTGTTTGTTTTGTTTCCAGCTAAAAGGCTCGGGAGAAGAGGATGACGCATTTATAATGAAAGAGAATGACGTGTGGCTCTGAATTCCTTCGCCTACACAGTGTTGGACTTGGAGTCTCCTTTGTTTTGTTATTTTTTGTTGGGGTTTTTTTGCAGCTTATGAACTGATCACCCATCCACAACACACATGCAGCAAGAAGTCTTTGTGGGCATGTGACCTATAAGATCAAAGTTAAGGTTTTTGTCTTTTTGGTAGCAATTTTGATTGGCATGTTTGAGACACAATTATGCCATTAAAATATTACTCAAGTGTGTTTTTGTTACATCGCTTAATGTCTCTGGTAACATTTCGCACTTTGATGGTTAAAATTGAAAACAAATGTACCAAATGGGAGTATTTAGCACCTTTTTCTGCTCCAAGTTTTTCTTTTTTT